CCCCCCCCTTTTTCATTGAATTTAATTCAGGTCCAGACTAGTCCGAGTCCAGTTCATTCCCGCATCAGCTGTGATGTGATGTGATGTGAACCGTTCGAGCGATTAAAACACGTGACCTCATAAAGCAATGCATGGGCACATGGATGTTATTTAAACGTGAAAAAAATCTCTAAACATAAATATGCAGTAACTCTTTGAAGAACTTGTCCATCTCTCATATAAGTTATTTTATTATTTGTATTGAAGTTACCTTTCGTCTTGTCTTTCGTGCTGAAGAGATCAAATGCAGCACCTGTATATCCACGATGAAGCACCTGTATTAGAATTCCAATTTGCTGTTATTCATAGTTGTTTGGCAACAAATATATTAACAATAAAATTATAACCATTTGCTGAATGGATTTCCAGCGCTCACATGAATGACAAACTCTCCCTCTTCAGGTCAACAGTCTGCAGTGCAGGGCTTCATTATTAGCGTTATTATCTTGATCTCCACCTGGTTTGACAAAATAAATTTGAAGAATTTGTGTAAAATATTTAGAGTAGTTTTGAAATATTTTTATATTTAAAATATCTTCTTGAGGTAAAAACTATTTACATCTGAATTAAAATTTGTTAAATTAAAATAGTTAAATATTATTATTATATAAAAATATAATAATAATAATAATAAACTCATTCACCATTTTGGCTATGTCTGTCATTTTACTGCATTTTGTTCTGATTATCTGTAGAGGATCTTATAGTCAATCCGATTTTCATAATTTTGTACAATAAACATCTGATTAGAAATATTAGTATTAAAAGCATTTTTCTAATAAACACAGCATTGTAACCTTGAGAAATAAACTGAAATTAGCTAAATGCTTTTTTTTAAAGCATAGATCGTAAGACAAATTTTAAAATGCACTTATTCCTTGTCTGAATTTGAAATGATGTTAAAATCCTAAAGAAAAACAATCACCTATATAAATAAATAAATAAATAATATAAATAATAATAGTAATAAAAATACAATGACCCACTAACGACAACTGTTGCTTTTTGATGGTCAGTTTATTTGTTTTTTTATCAGTAATGTTTATTGTTCGGTTTCCTCCAAAACTGAGTCTAGATCTATTCTAGACCATTCCACTATAAGGTAAACATGTGATGTAAAGCGTGCTTGTGTCAGATTATGCTTGAGGATGTGATGCCTCTTTAAGATTTTTCATATTTGCTATTCAAATTAATATAAAAAAAAATGACACCATTGATGGGCAACCAAAGGGACGTTTGGAACTGTATTGGACAAATAAATAAAAACTGCTGATAAATGGATGTTGTGAAGTCTGCATATAGCATTGCATATGACTCCCTCTACCGGTCAATAGTCGGAAGTGCAGGACTTTATTTATTTTACCGCTCAATAACAACCAATTTCAGCATACAAATTTTCCTGTGATGTAATTTCCAGTCAATGTTGATAATATAATAATATAATATAATATAATTATGTCATGTAAAAATTTTGCATTTCATGTGAAGTGACGAATTAATCTCAAAGTTACTCTCTCTCTCTTTCTCTCTCTCTCTCTGTGTGTGTGTGTGTGTGTGTGTCAGGACTCGTTTTGATTTAATTTGGGGAAATTTGTAGCCCATTTAATTCCATGATGAAACGTTGTGAGAGATAGATTGCAGTTTCTACGCCGTATAAAGATCCTAGTTCATGTAATCTTCAAAATTCACAACTGTCAAAAATGTTTCTATAGAGTTTTTGTCTATCTGAAAGTTTGTATTTATTTATTTTTTTCTCGGCTGAACAATGTTGTTAAACAACAGTACACACTGAACTTTTAAGTCCCTCACATCGATATCGTTTTCATTCCTGTCAAAAAATAACATGGCGCTACCCTGAATAAGGTCCAAAAGTAATTTAGTCTTCACTTTTGGTTATTCACATTTAATACCTGCCATAAAAGTAGGTTTATTAAGAATGCCCATTAATCTCTTCCTCCTCTACTTCTCAAACTTTCCATCCAGTCATGCTTCAGCCTGTGCTGTAGTATTTTATCGACCAGTCTCTCGTGTTGCTATATTGGTCAGAGTCACTGAAGCGAGCTCAAGTCCCCATCTGTGTAGATTTTAATCTGCCTTCTCTTCTCAGTGCTTCGCTCAAAACACTCTCAAATAAGAAGAAACGTTTAAATCTGGGGCTGATTCACGGACTTTCGACAGCTGCTGTGGCGCTCCGTGGATGTTGAAGTTCTTCTGTGAGGATCGCGGGTGTCGGGGCTCCTGTGGGGCCGCCCATGAGGAGTGTAGGCTCTCTGATCTTCAGCAGACTGTAATCGCATCAGACCGGCTTCACCGTGCATACAAAGACCTGCAACAGTCTGGACGGGGGGAAAACGCCGTTTTTTAATCTCAAAGAGTTTAAAATGAGAAACAACAACATTTGAAGCTCAGATTGACGCGAGCAGTATCTCAGAATCATAAAGGATTGAAAATGCGACTCCAGAAGAGGGTGATGGTGCTTCTTGCATTGGTGTGGATGTGTAATTTCACTATATGCACAAGAAAGTCTAGTGCACGGAAGTCAGGTGAGTGTCATTTTCATTGCTCATCTTGTAGTTGTCATTTTTTAATGATTATTAGAGAATATCATATAGTGACCTCAACAAATTGGACACACTTGAACATGTCCGAATGCCATTGCATTAGATACAAATATCAAATTGAGTAACGTTTTTTTCTTCTGCTCAATGTGTTTTAATAAGCTGGTGTTTGGTGATTTTTGGTGGAGGTATAAAGTCATTTCTCCCCGACTTCACACAAGTGTCCATGGTTATCTTCATTTTAAACTGTTTAGTTGTTTTATCATTTAAACATGCCTTTTCTATCGGTTCAGAAGTGTGTTTGCCATATCTTTGTTTAAAATAAATGATATTTTTGTATTTAATGCAATTACATTTGGTTTCTAAATACTTTTTTGGAGCCTCTTCATGTCCCATAATCCACTTGATGCATGCAGGACGAATTTTTAGGCTATTCCAGTGGATGGATGTACAGTGATTTGTCACAGAGACATCTGGGGTCGCAGTCATAGAGCAGGGTCAGTGCTGTATGGCACATCCATATGCCCCCCGGACGATCTCATGCCCAATGCCCATGGCAAACAATTTAGAGTAATGAAGACCATCAGTCATTTCAGATAAACAAGCCCTCTGATAACTGACACTTCAGAAATGCTGCAAATTGGTGCTTGTCCCTTTGGTACCCCTTGAGTATATGGGGAGGCTTAACCTTAATGCGTTTTTTAGTGGTATAGCCAATGAACTGGAAGCGAGATTTACTTCAGTGGTCTTGATTTATTAAAAGACCAACAGATTTAAGCATATGGCCACATATACACTTGGATTTGTTAGTATAGACAGGTTTAGGCCAGAGCACAGGATCAGTCAACATGTCCAACCTTTTTCTTTAATGAAGGTGGAAGGATTTCAAGTGCAGAAGTGGTTCTTGCTGGACTATTAGAAGTTGGTCTGGGTAAATGTAATTTTCTTAAGTTTCATTGCATCATCTGTTAGATAAGATATTTGCCTGGAGCCTTTTTCGCTGTAGTTTGTATTGACTTGAAGTTGTAAATGAAAATTAGACATTTTTGGTCTGAAGGCTCTTGAAAAAGTGTTCTTACTGTCACACACACTTAAACATCAATTCCAATTTTGTTACTCAGTTTTCTGTTGCCTAAAATTCCTACTTTAATGATATCTACATCTTTCTGGATTGCTGTAAAATTAAAGATGCCGTTAAATCAAATCTGGTGGCATTTAGTTTATGTCTGTTAGCTTTGGGTTCATATATGCTTGTGTACGCCTAAAAGTTGTCAAAAGAATGTGTGTATATATATATATATATATATATATATATATATACATACATGTATAAACAAAAAAAAATAGAAGGAGCTGACTCTG